AATTATGTATGAGTTTTTGAAATTTAGTATAAAAGTCTAACTAGCTGTTACAGCTCATTTTGATTGATTGCTTCACTAGAGGTGTAATATATAATACGCTCTTGGTACAGAAAAAAATAACCGGATTAAAACGATGTATCCGGTGATAATCGGAGAATATTTTATGATTCGTTATCAGAAGTCTGTTGTTTGGCACGACTCTATACGACATATGATGTCATGGGGAAAAATGTAAATGAATAGCTGAACATCTTATTAGGCTTGATCCATACAAATGCGCTAGGGAACGATTAAAATAGCTAGACAGCTACAAAACGGTTCAAAAGCCTTTAAACAAAGACCTTTTACAATGGCTTCCTTTATGAAGTCAAAGTTTAGAATTAAAAGTTCTCTTTGTTATAGCAAAACTTGACGCCTTTTGCCTCGTTGTTAGATTCGTCGCACACTTTGTGAAGGTCACGCGATAAGCCAGGCGGTCCACAGAAAAACACACCAACTTTGGTACTGAAAAAAATTGAAGACAGGATTTAAATTTATTAATGTCACTTTTTCGAATCTAGTGCCATTTTGTCATAGTTTTGTCACTATTGCATATACCAATAATAATGATCTGCCCCTTTTTAACCAATCATCATCGGTATCGTCATGAATGCCATCATTGGCATAGCATTCAAAACCTCCGCCAAAATCCGACTTAAACCCAGCCGATGCTGCATGGTCTAGAAAACCAAATAATTAATGAGCCAATTACCAAAACAGGTAATCAACCAAATAATAATGATAACCTGCCAGCCATGCAGCTAGCCAGTCAGCCAGCCATAGTTTATGAGCCAACCGAGCATTCGTTTCCGTTTTGTACCCAGCCAGCCATCCAGTCAAGCATTCGGAATTTGACTTTGCTTTGCTAAACYTATCTACCATAAGATTKTTTTCGCTAATACCAGCAATAAAAAGCGATAAAAATATCTTACTTCGGGTGTGCATCGGTTATTTCGTTAAATATATCGGGCCAGCAAGGTCGACCATATTTTGTTCCTGAGAACAAACCAGTGACGGGATCATGCATAGCAGTCGGTTCTTCTAACAGAATGCGGTTCGCCTTGAAACAAAATTATAAACATTATTATAGCCACAAACGAGGTCGGAATTTACACARTCGCCATCTTGACTATGAAGGAACACAGGAACTTCAAGTATGGAATGTTCAAGGTATAAAAGTGAGCACACATATATGGAGTGGACAAAAATATATCATATYATCTGACTATTTCTTAATCAAAATGCATTACATTCTATATAATTGTTTTAAAAATCAGAATGTGTTATTGCCCTCATTGTTTTTCGGGTTTTATGWAATAGCATTGTGTCTCATATAGCGTTCTCAACGCCATTCAGTCTACAAAATTAATATTGATTTTTAGTGCTCTATGAGCATCCCATAGAATGTTTTTAAAATCAATGTTGAAAACAAAAGAATTGTCACATGCCATTTTGAACAACTGAGCATGATGGGAATTGTAGTCCTCGAAATTTTTTGTATGTCTTTTAAAACAGTGCTCCTAAGCTGTTTTGTGTTGTTTACAAAAATATTGTATGATTTCTACAAAGAAAACATATAAAAGTAGCTTTAATGAAGATTATTAAGGGGCTTTATTTTTTCCCTAGTAAAAAAAATATATTTTTTAAAGTTTCAAGTTTCCTCACTCTGATGTCTTTGCAACTGAGGAGCTGTGTGCAGGAATAGAAGACGAATACAGAAGAAGATTACTTGTAAATTCATATTTACCATGTCAGGATTCCACTTTGTTAGAAAAATGTTGATCTGAATAAAATCGCTAAATCCCTCCATCTATAAATGTAAGCAAAGTATCGTTAAAAGAAAATCCAATTTAATTTTGTTTTTATGCATTTGTTCTCTATTTGAATTCAAATATAAATATTTGAAAATTAGACCGCGAAGACGTTTGGACTATCAACTCGTAGCTAAGGATATYCAAAGCATGGATYAGATTTACKAARTAAAAAARATAACGAACAATTTTTCTCGATATTTTTTGTCTATTTAGCTTAATTACATGCGACCATGACCTATCATAAATATACCATAGTTCAGTAGCCAATCAGAATGCTGGATTTGTAATAGCCCATAGTTTGGTGAATRCTAATGAGTGATATTCAGTCARTCGCATTAATATTGTGGTGGAGTAAAAGTACTCGGGATGCTAGTCGGATCTCTTAGGGTAAAAATTCGTGATTGGGAATCTTTTAGGGTGCCAAATTTGAGTTTATGGATATTTGCATCGTCTGAAACCTCGTAGGATGTCGGAAAAGATATTAATTTTCCTCTGCGTTTTTATCAATGGAACTGATTTAATTTAACAAATTTTCGTTGTGCAGTCTCAGGGGTCAAAATCAGTCAGCCACGCACTATTTTAAGATTTCCGGGATTTTTGAGGGGTCTTTTGGGAAATTTCTGACGAGTACTTTTACCCTGAAGTGCCGCGATATTGTTCAGTTTTTTAAAAAGACGTAAAGACCTGAACAAAGTCATAAAGTCAGTCGTGGATAATATTTGTGTTTTTGCACGATTATTCAACCTCCAAAACTTTATGATACAAATGTTAATAAAATTTTACTTGCAAGCATAATCTGGTGTTTTCAATTAAATTCCTTCACAGAGAATCTCTATGTTTTTACAATTAAACAGCGTTCATTTATGATAATTTAGAAAAAAATTAATAATAATTTAGAATGATTGTTTTAAAATGTAAGTACGAACCTTGGCCTCTAAATATTTAAGAAGGTCTGAAAACCACTCAAATGCAAAGCTTTCTCTGCAAATCCAGTAGAAATACACCTTTTGTATGCACATGGAATCACGSCCTTCTTTATGTTGGTACCTAATAAAAGGTAAGTCAAAGTCTTATTTAATGAAACACAGTAAATCACATTGCCTTAGTTTAGTATATGACTTGACGAGCATTACCCCTGGGGGGGACTCCGAGCGGGGGTCCTCGTCGTCCCTTTTAGGGTTTGAAATCAGTTTTTTGGTCCCGCTTAGGTTGATAATGACGAGAATTCCCACCAACTGARTTTTGTGGTCCTATTTAGCGTATACAACGACCCTAAGCCGTCATYATAAGATGAAGAACAATCATTTACCTGCTTATTAGATGATTGATCTCAATACGAGCCGACGGCGTTTGATGCATTTGCAAAAACACAAATTAAATCGGGAAACCAAAACAAAATGTCCTGTTATTGGTCCCTCTTAGGGGTGAATTTCTAGTACTGCCACGCCCATCATATTACAATACAGGTCCCTTTTAAAGGTCATTTTCAGAATTTCCGACGAGGACCCCCGTCCTTTTTCATTAGGGAGTCATTACCGTGCATTGTCATGTTTTTCTACATACCATATTGATTTAAGGACCGATGCAAATGGAGTCACTCCTATTCCTGCCCCGATACACATAACCACATTGTATTTGAAAATGTCCTATGGATTGTAAGAAGAAGCAATTGTAAATTTGAAATTCATTTTGWGGACTTCGTGGCACTGCTAGGTTTCAGACAAACGGAAGCTGACCAATTTAATATTTGTAATGTAGTTGCTTTGCTCGACAAACTGTTGTTGTGCCAAACATTTGGAGGGCTGAAAACGACTATGGGAAAAACATTTTCTGCAATCGAGGATGATCTAAAGAGGAGCATCTTTGAAAAAAYATCTGCGYAGCGACTATTGACTTGTTCACATGAAAAACATTAAAACAAGTGTAAGTTTACAGGACTCCATTGTAACGAAGAGGAACTCTTCTCCCTTTTTTAATTTTTTTAAAATCCTTTTTGGTCAGGTCGCTTATAGACCAAACATCCACAACTTTTAATCAAATGGTTGTAAAATTTACTTACAGTACTTGCAGTACCGTATGGTCCATCAACAGTTATTCTGTATGCAGATAAAGAAAATAGTCAATGTAAATAAACAAACAAGCGATAAAGACAACAACAACKAAAACATAACAATAYAAAGAAATCCTTMMAAACAGACAGCCAAACAAGCATACTAACAAATGAATGAAATTAAGGCAATTTTTTTATTGCAAACTTACTTTGGCAAAACATCAGGGCTTTTCATGTTTTCCCCATCAGGTGCAAACTCCTTTTTTATCGCAGCTGTAGGCAAAAATGAAATATATAAAGRTGATTGTAAGGACTTAGTGTAAACAGTATGTAAACATTCTTTCGTTTGAATCGTACACAAAGTTTGAGACCCTCATTTTATGCAGGGTATACGTAATGAAATACTTCAGCTCCATTTATTCCATTTCCAATGCAGTTTAAGTAATGGTAGGACGAATGTATCGTAAACAACAAGTAACAGATCACTTTATATTCTCTWGTGTGAGACTATGCATTTACTTACCAGTCCAGTCCCCTGCAACTCTTATGTGGACGCTGAAATAATCTTCTTCCGGGGCCTAAAWCATATTACAGCAAACAAATGTCAGAGGATTCACATATTGTATGTTGGAAATTATATAGAAATCTCAACAACTTAGAATGGTTATACATCTTACGTTGGTCAGAGTGAACGGATGCCATTCTAGCTGTGATATCTTAGGACATTGAATGAATATGTACTGAAAAATAATCAAACGTTACGGTCAAATGAAAATATAAATCAACTGAAATTGTAAAACTTAGTAGGGRGAAGTGATAAAGTATCGACCATAACAGAAAGTGAGTAAATGCTGCAAACGGTATACAAACCTGGCCTGCTTCACATTCAAAGCCTTKTTTCTTCATTTGAATCTGAATGACGTTTGATGGATGCTTGACAACCTCGAATGAAAAATATATAATATATTTTGATAAAAAGATTCGTTCATAAGGTAAGTAATTTTTATCTTCCTGGCTATAGTGAATTTAAAAAACAAAGTTTCGCATTGAAAACTAGATTCTATAATAATTCACCACTATAGGTGCATGTTCCAGTCATTTTCTATCGRTCAAACAGATTTCATATCTCATCGGAATTGGGATGACATAAGAGCACAAGCACCGAGACCACAGCAGCAATGACCAGAATGAAAATAACAGGATTAATACATGTCAGCATTTTCCCTTAGTACTCTTATAACCTTATTATTATACGAGAGGCGAATCCAGAAATGTTGAAAGAGTGGATTCTGYGCCCCTTGAGATCTTGGTGGATGAACCGCTCTCATTTGCTTACGTTATTTCATAAATKTTATAAAGTAAAACGTGTTTTTATGAATTATATAAATCATATAAGTTATGATATGATATTAAATGAACAACATATACAAATAAATCAGGAATTTTCTAGGGGGAGGGGGAGGGAGGGGATAACAAGTAACAATACGAAAACCATTGAAAGTCATCAGCGTTTACAATATTCAATCTATAGATTCCATACCTTCGTCACTTGGACTGGCTGCTTTGATCTGTAAAACCTCACACAACGTTCAATCGTGTACAGAAGCATGGAGAAACCAACGAACTTCCATGTCTAAATACATAAACAAGTATTGCTCTGAATTCTTGATGATACGTTATTCTGTCCTGTGGTTGGGATGATTGCGAGATTCAATGGGATTGTAAGACGAACGATTTTTCACGGGTTKGGTGTAAAGGCTTTAGAATAGTGTAATTATTACCATTGCTCCAGTTGAATCAAATCTTGGCAGCTTTACACAGTGTGTACCGTTTTTTCCCCAGTGATCGAGGTTATTAATGCAGTGTTCTGGGTCGTGATCATCCACATTGGTTTGAAAGCGCAAAACATTGCTTCAAAAATAATAAAACAAAATGCTAATCAATATCTCAAACGCCTTATCATSAAAAGCCAAATGRAAAAATCTGGTCTACTGGTCTGGAATAAGTGMGAGGTCTCTCCTGGACCAGGAAGTCGCGCGACTTTTAAAAAGCTTTAAAAAGCGTCACATCTTGGTTTCTAGAGGCGACTTAAGGAAATTTGGAGGATTGTTGACAGGGGCATTCCCTTGCCGTATCTAGGCGACTTCTTTTTCCCTTAAAATGAAAATGTAGGGAGCTTGGGACCTTTAACAGGCTTGGGGTCGRGTAAGCCTTGATAAGCATATTAGTTAGATGAAAACTAATTGGATATTTTTAAAAATMTAAAAATCTTATTAAGTCTATCTTKACGCTGGTCCGCTTTTATTCGAATGATGAATTATTTCTATGCCGTGACATACTGAGATGATTTCCCCTCATTCTTTGACATAATTTKAYTSCAACCAATTACGTTACCTTACCTAGCCTCCTTCGCAGGCAACTCTACTCCATGGGATTCCTGTGTTAAGGCAAAAAWGCTGCCGGAGGGGGAGGGGCTAGGAAGGAAGGAAAAGCAGGAGGAGTTGGCTACTCCTCTTGTTCGTTAATTCCTAATCTCTCGACACCAGTTCTTCTCGGTCAAGAATATGAACACAGGAAGACCAAGAAGAGAAAAATGTCCGTTTCCGATGGAGTAGCCTGCGAAGGAGGCTATACCTTACCAACGAAATTGTAATATCGATGTATGACAMTGATTGCTATTGCTATAGTTTATTTAAATAGGACCGACCGTTACTAACCCAACACCGTGAAGAACCAGGCCAACAAAGAAAACGATGAACAGATGATGAGAATACCAGAAGACCTCAAAATACGACCTCCTAGTAAGACAAAGTCGACATAATTAGATTCAGACTACTATTATTGAGAACAAAATCTTGTGAACTATAAGTAAAACACTATTTATTATCGTTGATTGTCCAAAATAATTATCCRGATCTACTAACTCTGGGTTTTAAAAGGGCAATTTCGTTTTCTATSATCTGTAGGCTTATTGTTCATTAGTAGCTACCAAATTATGAATTATCACAAATTCAGCATACTGGTTGGCTACCTGACTATTTCTCTATTCATTTTAGACAATTGTCGCATCGAGTGAAGGGAACTAAAGTGAAAATATATATAGATAGTGATATAAATAGTGATTTTTTTTTGTATAATTGTATAATAGAGTAGTCGCACTAAATGCGTGAAATATAAATACTACAAAAKAGGTGATACATTWTAMAAATTCCTTTGTTTCCTATTATGTAATCAACACTGTTTAGTCGTAATTAGTTAACAAATAAATAAGGCTGAGACTTATTTATTTGTTTTATTATATAGATATTGAGCAAAACTTAAGCAAAAATCCATTTTGTTTTCAAAAATTGCTCGCGCACAATCGTGGTTTATACTCTCATAAACCACACTTTTTTGGCCAATCAGAGCGCGCGTTAGAAATCATCTATATAATAATACTATTTGTTTCACGCTTTAAGTGCGATCACTCTATAATTATAATAATTATAATTCAGAATAATTTGTCAGATATTAAAACGATTAGACCACTGTACTTCGTGAGCTCATTGTTTATTGTATCCAAAAATCMTCAAAATTTAATTTAAGATCGGACAATACAAATCTTTTCGCACACTAATAACAACCCTTTATGAGGTGGTTAAGCATAGTACAAGTACATGGGGATGGTTCAGACCACTACACAAATACAAGCTCTAATATTAAAAAAATATACCCCAAGGTCGAGTGAAATATTTAAAGATTAGACCCCAAGGTGAAACACGATTCGAAAACATCTAATTGTTTTAGTAAACCAAATTCTGACCTACCTAATTAACTCTGTAGAAGATGATACCATAAGAATGAGAGCCAATGTGATAATGACACCTGTGAGGGCAGGAACTAAAGACAAAAAATGTGAGCCTGAGTTTCAAACATTCTGAAAATTAATTAGCGACAACTTCACAACGATTKTTGCACAAAAATGTACAAAATTTACCATTGCTACCGGACTGCGGAAAATTTGTACGAGTGAGCATTTAATAWAACACTTTTATCAATTTGCAGTGAAGTCCCACGACAAGTTAAAGGAATGCCGGTTAGAAATGACCCCTTATGGCAATAGTCTTCTTCACGGTTCACAGCGCCATCTTGAAAGGTAGCAGTGTAACTGCATCGAAGCGAGACGACCGTTGAGTGTGCAATGATAGAATCCTTCTTTCACACCTACAGACAATTATTCACAGGTATCTATAATACTTCGATTTCGAGCAACATATTCTTTTGTTTCATTGATAGCCCGAGAAAACGTATGGAATTTGAAAGGAAAGACAATGGAATTGATTTGAAATCTCACACTTTTATTCTCACAATTAGGAATATTTTGYGCACRAATGAGGCTAACACAGAGCATTGGAGAATTCGAAACTGGATTATTGCATTCTCAACGCTGTCTTGCTTCGAAGGCACGGCTACCTTTTAAGATGGCGCAGGGAACCGTGAAGGAGACTATTGAACATTCCAACCATAACTTTTGAGACTGAGTCTGAGTKAATTTTCTATTCCTTTGCTAAGATTTTTTTGAATGCATATTTTGAACTTTGAGTTCATATRCTGTTGCTCATTGAAATGTGAATGGTGAATGGGTGATTATAACGAAAAACTTACTTGACTGGAAGGCTTCGGCCACTGGATACTGAAAAAGACAGAAAAGTTAAGCAATCGACGAGAAGGCAATCCAATAAGTTAAAGGGAAACGTTTATTTATCAGAGTAAAAATAAATACACGTATAACAAAATTTAACATAAAGAATCGAATAGTGAACAACAGAATGAATGACTTTCCATGCACTTTTCAGTATTGTTTATTTATTATAATCCTAGAATATTTTGATTATTTGAATTACATGTAGCAGCACACCATTCTGTGTTTATGACYATCATSAGCGCAGACTTTTCTAGCGCATCAACACTGTCTATATCATTATACTCAATAACGGCGCCAAGGTAGAAATTACAGACCAAAGTAGGGAAAGTTTTGATTTGATCGTTCAGCGACATAGAACAAAAAAAAATACTAGTTTATAAGTGTTATTCAAACTATTTAGTTTCACCGATCTTTTACAATCAAAYGAAAACGTCTCTACACAATTACTCCGACTACGACCGGAAAGTCCCTAAAGTATTTCTGGTCGAGATAGATCAACTCCAGTGGATATAAAACGAACTGATCACGTAGATTGCATAGCACGATCTTAGCATGATTATAATATAGTCCATTGGCCACYTGTGGCCAGGCTAAGAATGAAAGTACCTTTATGGAATACGTAGAAATTCATATATTTCAGTATACCCTGTTGACTCATAGAATTRTTATTTTCATCGCTTACCACACTTCCATTTACTATCGGTCGAAACCAGTTATGGCAAGGGGCCAGCTTGTTATTTAAGTGTAGTTTGTCTTTCACGTGCCAAGTCATTGTGAGGTTCTCGAAGTTAAAGCAGTGGGCACCAACATGAATAACTAAAAGAATTAATAACAATTGTAATCGTTTCACAAAATAATCTATTGATAAACTTCAGCAAAAAAATGCTGCCTCAATATAAAATAATGGATAAAAAAGAAACAGYAATCCAAAAACAAAAGACTTCCATTATAGAAAACAAGACCTCTCTCGATTGAAAATGCACTAACGGATCTTGATCCTTCAATATCTTTCTGTGCTCTCATTTCTCTATACAGCTATTCGCTATTCTTTTCCAGATCGCGCGTAATTTCATWGAAATGGTTGAAGGATAATACAACAGAGCGTGCGCTSGTTTTGACTAATTTTGATTAAGGTGGATCACAACTAATGAAACGCAAATTTTGAACTTTTTTAACTCGCTCGCTTCGCAAAAGTATTTAGTAAAACGTGCTAAAATTTTGATAAAACATGCAGTGATTATTGCAGTTTTTGACAGTTTTCATTATTTAGTAATGTTTTGGCTGGTTTTAAATATACAGCGCATTTTCAAACAGTGATAATTCCAGTTTTCGACGATTTACTCTAAAACTAACAGTCGGATCATCTTGAAATTTTTAGAATTTGTATATCTCATAAAACTACACAAGGGCTGTGAATATGGTTGGAAAAACTCGGGCAGAAATAAAGATATGAACGCGGCTCAAAAATGAGCCCAAAATATGACCTACATAGAATAAACAACCGCATATGAATAAATATACAACCGATTGACATGATCTTGCGATATGTTGTACATCCATTGGTCAATATTAGTGTGTGCAAATTTCAGTTCTATACCTTTCAAATCAAAAGAATTACAATATTTTTACTGGAGATACAACATATCGCAAGATCATGTCAATCGGTTGTATATTTATTCATATGCGGTTGTTCATATGCAGGAGTTTTTCGAATCAAATTCACAGCCCTTGTGTAATTTTATGAGATATACAAATTCTAAAAATTTCAAGATGATCCGACTGTTACTTTTAGAGTAAATCGTCGAAAACTGGAATTATCACTGTTTGAAAATGCGCTGTATATTTAAAACCAGCCAATAAATTACTAAATAATGAAAACTGTCAAAAACTGCAATAATCACTGCATGTTTTATCAAAATTTTATCACGTTTTACTAAATACTTTTGCGAAACGAGCGAGTTAAAAAGGTTCAAAATTTGCGTTTCATTAGTTGTGATCCACCTTAAATGGTGTCATTTCGACCAATGCAAGAATGTTTTAGTTGAAAATACAATGCCTTATTCAAATACTATTAGATAGTAGACCTTTTTACTATTTTCGCAAATTTCACGATTTATTTTGTTTTAATTGTCAATTCAGTTAGAAACTATGGGATGCCCACGGAGAAATTCATAGACTTTAGAGTTTTAGAATGCTATGCAGTTAAAACGAGAAAAAACAATTTAAAAAGACATAACACATTTGGATGTTTGGAAGCATTAATTTAAATTTTGAAGCACGAAATTATCAGTGAAATAATTTTTTTGTTTCAATTGTATATAAGAAGGTGTGTTCTCTTTTTTCCTTGCCAAAGTGAGTCTGCTGTCAAAAAGGACAGCGGACATCAATTTGGCCATGGAAAAAGTGCTCATTCATCCATGACTCAGATTCATCTATTCATCCATTCAGCGAATTTCTTTGATTATCTTTCAATCCATTTATTGTGTTCACCATCAAAACAAGATAATGGAATTACTCACGAGTCTGAACACAGATCATATACGCCAGGTATTTGTGGAACGTTACGGACTTGTCAAGCACGCGTATGATTGGCCTCATACAGCCACGCTGACAAAAAAGAACAAAAATAATTACACGTAAACGATATGCACATAAATGATAATAGTAGTACATTATTAATAACGATAGTACTGGTAANCTGTGGTTGGATTTGGTAGACTTTTCTCTAGACGTGCTATCTCTTTGCCGCCATAGATAATCAATGCATCTTTCTTGTCGACACTATTGGTTATCTTGAAGTATCTGAATTCACGTTCTATTCCTTCCAGCCATTCCTCCCATCGGTTACCTGTTGCTATCTGGTCCTCTCCTATTGCGAACGGGTTTGCTTTGAGATTCCTGGTGATCACTGTTATATGTTGAGGATTGGCCGCCGCTTGATCAATGTTTTCGTCTGGCATGTCGATTCACTGTATTGCCGAGRATTTCGCTTTTCCTGACTTTCCTTACTCACTAAGCTGGGAGGAGTTGTCAGTAGTTTAATTCGTGGGTTTTTCTACCCCTCGTCGCCAATGTTGAATCCGTGGTTTGAGTATAACTTGATACTAGAATCGGTTCACACAGTCACTGGTTTAATACATATCAAAAGCACATGTAGTGAAATTACACGCATGATTGCACATAGATAATTACTTAATCATCCGGGATATTACAATATTGAACCTTAATAAAGTTAATAGTCATAATATCAAAAGGTGTAAAGCAAAAAAAACTTCCTGGAATAAAAAATAATTAAAAAACAGTGTACTCAGCATAAATATTATGAAAAAAATTGATCATCAGCATGCCGGTCTCACTTTGATAGTCACATGACAGGCTGTAAACACAGAGTCTTTTATCTTCTCCGCTCTTCCATTCGTCGGCTTTTCCTGAGAAGAACTCTGTTCGTATTCCTTAGACGAGACCTTAGTAGTTTCAGAGCCTGCATAAGTTCGTATATAGTTCGCTTGTGCTAAGATAGGTAGCTTGTTTGATAGACAATTCTCGATAGACTCGATCTCGATAGACAGTAAGATAAATTCTCGATAAATTTACGGTATCTCCTGAAATTCCTTTTTCGGAAAAACGCGCGTCATATTTTAGTGTGGCTATCCTACGAATGTGTGGATATTTTTAAGTGATTTGAGCGTATTTGTAGATGTTGAATTTCTGTCGTTGAGTGAGTCTTATTAACGTTTAAAAATATGCGACGCAATACTGTCAAGCTACTAGTACTTGAAACACGCCAAATTAACCTCGGAAAGCCTATAAATCTTAAAACAAGTATAGTCTAAGCATTAACTTAAATTTTTAGAATGATATTGTTAGAAAACTGAAGCAAAATCGTTAGTTTTGAGCTCATTTCGACACTCGGAGTTACTGTCCGCGTGGTTGTGTACTGGATAGTACACCATCAGGGCTTTCCTATACATTCGTAAAGTAAGACCATATTCAAACGCTTATATTTTTGCTAAAAAATCGCAGTTTGACGAATTATATGCTGTTTTTGGCCATGAACATAAAAAATTCATTTAGATCTTAAAACACAGCCTTTTGTAGKTATTTCTTGACCTGTCTAAAACGCATTGAGCYGTGATAATCCCATACATTCTTACCAATTTTCGTTTGCTTGTATTTCTCTTAAAAAGCATTATTTTTTAAGCTCAAAATTTCGCAATAATACTTTAATTTAGATGTTCTATCGAGGACAATAATAAAATTTCGCCAATTTGGCCTCTAAATAGCATTTTTTGAATATCACGTGATTATGAGCTTGGGCTACCTGTGGACAATTTCTGACTGATAAGCGACAATGAAAAAAAAATAAGAAGCCCGAAATTTAAACTCGCGGTTCCACAGGAACCCCGAGTAATAAAAAATAAAAGAGTAGCAATTTCTATGTACTGAAATAAAGATATCATTGGTTCGTGTTTGTTCGTGTGTGAGTACAATAAGAGTTATCCCATCGACCTCGCAGATCATGTAATACCTTAGAGATTTGTATTGTGTACAAATGTAGTTCAAAGTTGTTCAATAAATGATTCATAATATTCTTTTATTACATTCATACTGAGATTTTCTCACATATTTTTCTATTTGAAAATCCGTTTCAAAATATAAACTAGCCAATCATAGGAGCGAAACGAATTTCTCACACGTGCCGAAAAGCGTTTCGTCCAATCAGGAAAGATTTGTGAGAAAACGTTCCACGGAATTCAGTCAAACAACTTCAAGCTTCTTATGACTAGAGAGAAAGCATTTTAGAAAGTGAATTGACAACTAATATTKTCAGGAGAAAAAYRAAAATTCAACAGCTAAAACGGCGAGTGATGAAAAGCTACTCGATGAATTTCCGAGAGAAAAAAAAGTCTTTTAAAGGCTGATTTACACGGCACGATTGTCTCGTGCGATTTGTAGTATACGACTTGAATCGCACAGTGTAAATGCCCCTACGACTTGTCTACAACAGTCGTACGCAACCTACGACTTGTAGTAGGATTTTGAACCACTGCTTAAAATCCTACGACTTGTAGTAGGAAAATCGTATACTACAAGTCGCGCGCGACAAATCGTATCGTGTAAATCAGCCTTAAGACTTAAAAGCAAAGAAATCCAATTCCAAGAGACCAAACGAGGCTGAACGAATACATCTCTGACTTCATTATGATTGTGAAGCCTAGAATTTATTTTCAAGTTTTAATCAACATCTAAAAGAATTAATGCAAATATTCCATCAGTATATTTCCCAAGACCACAGCGAAAACTATGTCTGACTCAACTCCAGCACGATTTCGATGTTTGAAACTGAATAACCCGCGCTTGTCAAATCAACCACCGTCGCCAGCAGTAGAACTGTTCAAAGAAGCTGTATTTTATATTGGAAATTTCTCAGTATTAGATATAATTCCTAGATGTACTTCATCTTCAACAGAAGTATAGAAAACAGAACAATATTATACTGAATAAAACGCGTATAAAAGTTGATAAAAAGTAAACAGTTTCATTGATTAAGGCTTGTAGGCTTGTTGCATTTTCCTCTAATGTAGCTTTTAGTTATTTTTATCATATTCAGTGAATGACAATTGACTATAAACTAAGTTATTGATGTGATTTATAATTATCCACTTCAGCATTTTAAATTGTATCGTATAGTTTGATCGCAAATAACTTCAAGCGAGTTTGTAAGACAAAACCGTCATTACAAAAGTCGCTCAAGTAGACGCTATTAATCTCAGTATGTATATAACTAGACGATCATGGATCGCTTACGTGGGCTTCCTGTGACAATGGTGTTTCATTTTCACAAGATAGTCTTTGTTTGTAATAATTCAAGACAGAATTAAGTTAATATGTTATCAATTTATTACATCATAATTTTTTACCGAACTGAACTCTAAGTAAATTGGATACCATGTCTTTCTCAGTTTTCCAAAATAACTAGCTCGACTTTACGCTCAAGAGCGTCTATATTATTCGAAATATCTGATAGGTCATATAGGTCCCATAAACAATAGAAACGGCTTGGCAGTATAACTTTGAATAGATATTTTGATCATTTTAATCATGTATCTGTATCTTGTGTTTCTGTTCTTTTTTATTTTGTGTTTATCATTAATTTGTAAATCTGGCGTTCTGTGCCATCATAAAGATGTACCTTAGCCTTCTAATGACAGTTCATATTTTTGGATTTGTCTAAGTTTTTCAAGTTANTGTTGAGAGATTATTCTGGACAAACAAGTGTTGCGTATAGATCTAGATAAATATCGAGGAACAGGAAAAGTTATTTACGGCCCCAGGTAAGTAACTTCTTTCAATATATGTAGGTAGTATTTACAGCTGTTCAAATTCCAGGTTCCCTTGTTTCAGATTTGATTTTTACTGTCATTTCACTGTAGGTATCTATCGTTGTCTCTCGAACGACTTACTCCCTCTACGTCTCACGAAGACATTGATCAGGCACACAGGAAACCCGAAATTGGCTTTGTCCGCGGTTGTTTTCGCTTCMAAATGTAGTTTAAATAAACGATTTAAAATTTGTTTGTACAAATTGTTGTTACTATGACAAAAGTCTTTTCTTTACAAATATAAAAAAAATTGGGTGAGGTGGACTTTAAAGCTGTATATCTACAACATTCGTGGGTAAATAACTGTGTTTATGAGGTTATTTGATTTCTAGCAGCAAAATGGTATTCGTTTACATCATCTCATCATTTTTTCTCAAGTTCTCATTATGCCAATAAAAATCACCATTGATCGAAAAACTTTGACTATAAGTGATAGGTAACTCCAACAAGCTTAGCATTTTAATGCTTTCTACACGTCATTTCAGAGCTGGATCTCTTCAAACCCGACTGCRTTTAGTCAATCATATTTGTTTTCGATCACTAGTGCATACTTGTAAATAATCTAAATTTAACTTTATRCACATAATTTTAGCTCTATTTTTTAGGTTCTATTTTTAWCCAATCAGAATTTTTCCGTTATGTCATGGGAAAAAGAATGTTAATTCTAGCAATCAAGATGTTTAGATCCAATATCCATACCGAACTTTTTTTTTGATATCTATAGTTCATTGAAAATACTGAGTTTGACTTGACTAATRTGCCGTCTGTAATAGTATGGTTTCATAAAACTATTCATTTACGGCTTTCTATTTAGGTAATCTGAAATGAGCTTGAAATTAATTGGTTTGCTTTATTATGATCGTTTTCCACTTTTACTAGTATAGTWGAATATGATTCAAAAAATTAAAAACAAAAGACTTTTCTTTAGTTTCCGCCGATTTATTTTATATCTTAATTATCATAAGACGGTCTGGTAGGTTTGTCTCATCAGATTCTTCKAACCAGATCTTTCACGAAATTACTACATAACATTATAAGTAAATCTTACCTGAAAAAGAGCTCGGAGATATTTATATTTCTTATCCATACCATAATTGAAGTATGTCGCAATTGCTATCCCAATGTTAATCAGAAGCCATATTATCTAAATCAACACAAAACGTTTCTAAACTTAATCAAAAAGAGTAAATATAGAATGCAAGTGCTAAAAGCGTGAACAAAATAGTTATACAATAGAAAAGAAAATGGCTACAGCATA